CTTCTGTTCTCGTTATCTAACACATGTGGAATATTTCTGAAATAGATATTCCTTATTGCATTTTTTTTTCTTTGAGTCATAGGAAGAAAAGTCCCTTTTATGTTCTTTTAATATTTGCTTTTATTAACTTCAGCTTCAGTTAGCTCACTTCCATATACCAAGATTCTTTTCAAAACAGAAGAGAGAAGAGGTAAAGGCAAATGTGGGAAGGGAAGCTGCTTGGTGACATGACAGCCGCTCCCTGGTAGGAGTTATTTCTACCTAAAACATATACACCATACTAAGAAGCCACAGGGAAGAAATAAATGGATGTGGATGGCAGGTTTTCATTCATTTCCTTGACATCTCAGAATACTGTAAATAAGTTTGTGTGTTTCAATTCAAACAGTTCCACGATCTTGGAGGTCTTAGTCATTTGTTTTGTTTTGTTTTTACTCTTTACTATTTTTTTTTGAATTTTATTTTTTTATACAGCAGGTTCTTATTCGTTATCTATTTTATACACATTAGTGTATACAGGTCTTAATCATTTGTATTAGCAGTTTCTGGAGTGTACAAAGCTCGGGCTTAAGGACCATTATTGGCATTCAGTGGAGTCAGGCTGCGTTAAGCAGGTGTACAACCTTGTTCATGGCTATCTTTGATCATCTTTATTTAAAAGTAAGTTCAGGCTGATGAAGTGGCTTAGCATCCTCCTGTGTTTTCAGCCTGCTAGTCATGCTCCACCAGAACATCTGGCTCTCCCGGGCACCCTCACGCTTCTCCAAATGAAACCAAAGTCGGCAAGGTGAATGGGAAGGACTGGCAAGTGGCATTCAACCCGGGAAAAAAGTTTAAAAGTGGCATATAACCCGGCAGCCCTGTTTTTAAATGTACCCAGGGTTGTGGTTTTATGCAGGTATGGTATGGGGAACAGGTTAGGAGATGCTTGCCATAGAAAAGATAGTTTGTTACATATAGTTTCCAAGAGGAAGAGGCATGAAGTGCCACATCAGGCCACGCAGGGCCACGTGCAGAGGTACCAGGGTTGCTCAGGAGGAGAGGCAATAAGGAAAAAACGTGGGCAAAAGCCTTTCCTGTGGTTTCTGCAGGCTAAGAAGGTTTAGGACTGGATAGCTTCAATAATTTCAGTGCATTCTGGGGCACAGGGATGATTCCTGATTGTCCAGCACCTGGCCCTGGTGTGACTTAGGGCAGGGGGATAGTGTTCTGGACTGCAGGAGCCTGATAAAAAGGGGCAGGTGTGGGCATGGCCTCAGGATTGGTTCACTTGGCAATCCAAGGTGTGCTCCCAGGCAAGCTGTTCGCTGTCTCTAGGAATTAGCTAACCCTAGGAAGGGCAGTGCCTCCTTGGCATCTGCAAGACTCTAAGATGTCAAAATACATCTTATAAAATACAGAAGATAAAATAAGATTAATACAAGCCTGTCTGAAACACTTGTAAGAAGCATACAAACAGAGCTTCTCAAACTTTAATGTGCAGAGGAATCACCTGGGCATTCTGTTAAACTACAGGTTCTGATTCATTAGGTCAGGTGGGCGTTGAGATTTTTCTTTTTTTTTTTTTTTGGCCACGCCCCACGGCATGGGTAACTTCCCCCACCAGGGATCAAACCCACAGCCTCTGCAGTGGAAGCATGGAGTCTTAACCACTGGACCACCAGGGAAGTCCTGAGATTTTGCATTCCTAATAAAGTCCTTGGTGATGTTGGGGCCGTGCTTTGAATAGTTAGGGCTAAGAATATCCCTTGGTCACCTTCTGCAGGGAAGAGGGAAGAACCTGACACTTGCCGAACCCTGCTTTGAACCAGATACTGCTTGGCCCTGAATACACAGACTTCATCTTGTTTTGCTTGGACAACAACCTTTGCTCTTAGGAAAAATGATCCCAGTGTTACAGGGAAGGGAACTGAGATTCAGGGTAGTTAAGTAACCCGCCCAGGTCACTTAGCTGAAAGTCAGAAGGTACAAATGTTATCTGGCCCAAAACCCGAATTTTTTCCCACCACAACATCCGTACAGATCGTTCCACTCCAGTGGAAAATAAAATGTCTCTGTTGGTAAAGGCTTCGTAAAATATAAAGTGTGGACTTGAATCGTGGACCATTTACAACTTGAATTCTGAACAGAAGAGAAATTCTGAATGATGTTCATTACTTCAGGACCAGAAATAAATGGTGCTGACTAAATAATTTATATTTTATTACAGCTATTCGAGAAACACTTCACACGGGGTTCCCTATTACACTAGTGTCTTTATCTTAAAAAGTGACGCATGTCCATGGTAAGATATAAACAACAAAAGTCTGCCTTCCTCCCATGTGCTTCCATTTCTATTGCGCAGAGAGAACTACCGTTAGGTCTGTGTAGCCTTCTAGAAATTCTGGGCAAATAGTAACCTTCTATGCAAATAATAAACTTTTTCATACAAATTCATTCACCCAGCCATTCATTTTTCCAGGGGGAAAAGGAGTAAGTAAAACATGCAACATCCCTCATGCATCTCACATTCCAGCAGGGGAGCTAGATCATAAACAAAAGAGTGAAATAAACATTATGTCAAATAAGGATAAATGATACTGAAGAAAAAGCCGGTGGAGTGGGGGGGGAGGGGCGGGGAACATTTGCAATTATAAATGCAGTGGTTAAGGAAGGCCTCATGGAAAAGATGGTATTTGAGTAGAGACATGAAAGCGGTCATCCTAGTCCACATTTACATTTTCCTTTAGCAATATGTGTTAAAGCCCTTGCCGTATCACAACTTAAAGATCTACCTCATTCTTATTAATGGCCCCATAGTACTCCACTGTGTGCATATACCATAATACTGATGGGCATTCCTTTACTTAAGCAAAGGGAATGTTTTAGATTAAGCTTGTTATTGAACTTATTAGGTGATCGTCTGAGTGGTCATAAGGAGATTTGGGGAGCACGGTATAAAGCCTGATGAAGTAGAAAGAGCAATTAGACGTGAAGCTGTGGCTGGGAGCCCTAGTGTGCCACTCGACCAGGTGACCACGTTATAACCGGGTATCCACTGAATGCCTGCTTCATATTAGTGGTTTTCCTTCTGTCACATCTTAGGCAGGGCTACATCCACCAGGTGCAGAGGGGTGTCTAGGATCTTCTCTACCCTGAGGGAAGGCGACAACCTACTTGCAACATTTTCCTCAATGCCAGCCTACCCTGTAAGCCCTGCGGAGACAAATACAAACCCTCCAGGTGACAAGTTCTCCACATTCCCCACAAAGGAAGCACAAGCACAAATTTTAGGGAGCAGTTAACCATCTGGGCTCTGAGTACAATCTTCCTCTTTTAGGAGAAAGCACGTAAGCTTCCTTAAAACAATAAGGAACAAAAACTCCTTACCTTCTAGCAATATTTATTTACACGGATACAGATGTTTAGCATTGGGCCATATGACTGGACATATTTCACACTTAATGAAAGATTCATTTATGCATTTAATTATTATCTGAGGCAGTACCTGGATTATGTCAGCCCTCTGCCGGGCTCTGTAGGAGGAATAAATATTTGTGCAGTATGGTTCCTGCCCTTGTCACCTGCTAGCTCTTAACAAAGACTGGACAAGGGAAAAAATGACCGTGATTGAAAGCAGTGTGTGATCAGTTAGTGGTGCCAAGGACAATGTAACAGGAATTAAAGGAAAGGGGAGGATGCTATGATCCAGAGAGGGATCCTGGCTGAGATATAAACAGGTAGGGATGCAGGTGGAACCAGGGGACTTTGGGAAGGGGTATGTGTGTGTGTGTGCACGCGTGCATGTGTGTGTGTTTTGAGAACATGTATGAATGGAAGGTGCATATAACTGCACAGCCAGCAAAGGCCCAGGTGAGGGAAAATACAGGTATTATAAAGGGAACACGAAGCAGCCCACTAAGAGCTTAAACACAGAATACGGGGGGTGGTCGCAGATGACAGGAGATGCTGGTTGGAGTGAGACTGGCAGAGGGTTCTGAGGCTCCCACCTTGCAACCAGATATGAGATAAATAAATGAGTCTTGAAAGGTGTCAAGAAAAGCACCATCAACCTCTTCCTCTTTTTCTCTTTTTGCTTTTATGGGGCGGAGGGGTACTGCACACTTTGGTTTGATAACCTCTATTTCCAATTCCAGTAATTTAAGAAACCAACTTAATACTTATCAAAGTAATATATGCCTGTAGCTTAAAAAAGCAAGTACTCTGTAAGAGGCCTATAATCAAAACCAGCCATCCCCACCTGTCTCCACCACCCCCTCCTAGCTCCCCAGAAACCTCTTTTTTGTTTGTGGTTTGCTTTTACTGTGAAAGATAATGACTTGCCAGAGCGAGTAGCCTCCTATACGGGTAAGACTTTTGCCCCAAGCAGTTGCTCTCAAGTTTGGTTAATCTATGGGCTGGCCCAGGGCAGGAAGACTAACCAGTAAGTCTGACCCAGCTCTCCCCCGTCAAGGAGGTTGAATCCTGTCATGGCAAAGAAAGGACACCACTTTTAACTTTCAATTCTGATATTTGATCCCATATATTTAAGTGATATATGTACACTGATATTTCTTAAATGATCATTTTTAGAGATTATCTAATGTCTTACTACCCTGCAAAATGAGGAAAACTTGACACTGTTACACCATCACCACTTCCCAACAAGCGTTCTTCCCCCATATTTCCAGTTGATTAAACTGCAATTTGGGGTTAAATCGATATTCTGTGTTTACATTGTTGGGACCACATAATATTGTTTACTACTGAGCCACGCAGTATAAGAACACACTTCCTAGCTTGTTCAATATTTTTTTCCTGGTGCTACCTTTTTCTTCCTTCCTTCTTGTGCGTACCTGTTACTCATCACTATTGACCTTTTCAAAGGAACTATAAAAGCCCTACTAAAATCATTTTTGGCGTGAGCAACTCAACCAATGAATCTCTCAGATCTGTTTTTCCCTCCACAAGCCTACCATTGAGTCCGTCCGGTCTAGTGGTTTCCCAGGCCAGCTGCCCACCTGTTGTCCTGGGGCTTCTTTTTAACACCATCTTGCGAAATCCCTGTGCCTCTCGCCTGTGTTGGGTCCCCCGCTTCCTGGATCCCATGGTTTCCTCTTTCTTGGTTTACATCCTCATTTTTGTGGAGCTCATTCTCTAGTAGCTTCCTAAGAAAAGGTACATGGGAGGTAAGTTTGTTGAGACCTTCCTTGCGTGTCTGAAAAAGTCTTAATTCTACTCTCACGCGTGCTTGCTAATTAAGCTTGTCATTTAATTCTAAGTAAAAATTCGTCCCCCTCAGAATTTTGCAGGCTGAGTTTCACTGTCTTCTAGCATCCAGTGTTGCAGCTGAGAAGTCTGAGGCCACTGGTTCTCCTGCTCTTTTATCTGTGACCTGTTTTATTTCTCTGGAAGGTTTAGGAATCTCCTTTTTAGTCCCTGGTTTTCTGAAATCTCATAGTAAAAAAACCTTAATGAGGATATTTTCTTATCCATCGTTCTGGGCACTTTCTCTTCCCTTTAAAGTTGGAAATTCCTGTTGTTCTGGTTTGCAAGTTTTCTTGAATTATTCTCTGATATTTGGCTCCCCACCATTTTATCTATTTTCTCCTTTTGGAGCCTCTGTAGCGAAATGCTGAACCTTGTGGACTGATCCAATACCTTTTCTACCTTCTTTTTCCCACCCCACTATCCATCTTTGCCTGTTAATCTGCTTTCTAGAAAGTTTGCTGGACTTTACCTTTTACACCTCTGAATATTTTTTTTTTAACTCTGAGTTTAATATCCAAGATCTCTTTCTTATTTTCTGAGTGTGTCTTTAATTTTTATAGAATTTACCTTTTATTTCATGGATATGATATTGTCTCCCATCTTTCTGAAGATATTATAGATTTTTAAAAGCTCTTCTTTCGCTTCTTGAATTATCTATATATTTCCAAGCCCCCCAACCCGTTTCTCTCTCTCTGTTTTGATCTCGATATTTTATTCTATAGTTTCTGCTGGGAGCCATACTCAAATATCTGGTGATCCTCTCACTATTCGTTTATATTTAAGACTTTCACATATATATGTAACACATCTATAAAGAAAATATACAATTTATTTATATTTAGGTACAGTGAGTCCCTACACAACTGATTAGAAACGCTGGCAGGGTGTGCGTATCACCTGGCAGGCGTCCCATGAGGTAACTGGGTAGGAATCTAGCCATTCCGATAGGGACTCCAAATGCCAGTCAGGTCATTTCTTTGGGTCATTCAGTTTCTCTAGATAAGAATCCTTTAAACTGCTGTCTAAAGAGCCTGTCCCAAAAGAATGTGGAAAAGAATAGATACACGTATATGTATAACCAAATCACTTTGCTGTACACCTGAAACTAACACAATCAGCTATGCTCCAATATAAAATAAAAATCAAATAAAAAAATAAAGAGCCTGTCCCTGGCTACAGGTGCTTTGGGAGCTACAGTCCAGGAGGGTCTCACCTGTTCACTCTACAGAGTTTCACTTAGTTCTCCCAGTTTCACCTCTCTATCCTGGGCCTCTTTTCCCTGAGTCCAGAGCATCTCTGATTCAATTTAGCCCAAGACTATGCCTCAAGCCTCCAGCGGGGATGGAGATTTGGTAGTGGCAGTGTGAGGGTGGGAGAGGAACAGGGCCGAGCTAGTCCCTGCACTCCATTCCACTAAGTACTACTAACTACCGACTACTCTGTAACTACTGTGAACTAGTCCCCCCTTTTCCAGGCTCACCCTCACACCCTTCTTAAGTCTCCCCAGGGTCCTGCAGAATCAATCTGTGGGCTTCTCTCAGTACCCCTCAGCCACTCCCCCTCCATCACTGGGCCATCTTCCCAAAGTCTGCTGACACCTCTTGTTTAGTGCCACCTCCCCCTCTGTTCTCTCTCACTCTCAATCTGTGTATAGCCGTCTTTAAATTCTTTGCTGAAATTTTAGGGAGATTTTTTGGAATCAGAAGATATAAACGCATGTGTTCAATCTGACAGAACGACAAGTTATCAGTCTTATAAATTTTATTTTGTACTTACGTACTTATTATGTACTTCACTCTAGAAAGTTTATCCAGAGAACTTTAGGTGTTGCCCTAAATCAGCTACTAACTACGCAACAACTGTAATACTTTCAGGTAGGGTATTACTGAAATCATTTTAATTCTCTGTGACTGTCTAGGGAGTACCAGGCAAAGTGAGTTAAATTCCTCCATAAATTTATCTTTATAGACTCTCATTATTATCTTGGCTCTAGAAATTTGGACCAACAGTCAATTTGAGGCAGATGCCACATCAAATTTTAAATATGAGGGAAGGAAGGGAGGGAGGGAGAGAGGGAGAGAGGGAGGGAGAGAGGGAGGGAGGGAGGGAGGGAGGGAGGGAGGGAAGGGAAGGGAGGAGGGAGAGATGGAGGGATGGGGGGAGGAAAAAAGAAAGAAACAGACATCAAGAAAATGATTTAAAAATAGAATAGTGAGAGGATTGGCCTGAATAAATAACTATTTTAAGAAAAGCTATGTAAGTTTATTAAATAAGAAAAGAGACTGCAGAAAATCACCTGCCTTTAAGATAACTAAACAGAGATCACTCACTTGGAAGGCAGTTGGGTAATTTCTGCCCTGAACATTAGCTGTGAAACTCCAGCCATTCATTCAACAACTTGCACCCAAAATTCATATAAAAAAATCACCATTATCCAGCAAGAAACTATCCACATAAGAAATTCTCACAATTACATACACAGATCACCTTCTAATTATGTACTCACCCTTTTACTGCATATATATATATGTATGCATTCCTCACTTCATCCCCCAAACAAATTTAAGTCAGCTTGCTGGTTATCCTTTTAATATATTAGTTGAAGATATTTTTATTTTCCTGAGTATATTTCTTACAAATTTGTCTACCTAAAATTATGTCATCCTCTTTATTCTGTGCCACACTCAATTATGGGCCAATAAGCTTCTAAAAAGTTAACCATGTTGTCAACAGGAATGCTTCTAATGTAGCTGGAATCCCATCTTTGAGCTTTTGATAAGATGAAAAACTTTGTAGTCAGACTGACCTTGTTTTGCATCCCGACTCTTCCACTTATTGAATGTATGACCTTCAGGGAGCTGATAACCTCCCCACAAGGAAAATGGACATACTATTATCTATTTTGCAGGTTGTCATATGGATGAAATTGTAAAATGCATATAAAGAACCTGACATATTGTAGGTGTCCAATAAATAAAAGCTATTAAAATCAGAACATGAGAAGATATTGACACCTTAACTCTAAAAATACACCCTCTAAGTGAAGAGTTTTCACTTCCATTTTTAGGCATCAGATCACTGGTGTGCTGGTCAGCTAGAAGCAACTTGTCAGCCACTGAAAAGCAACGGGGAAGTTCTTACAGGCAATTAGGGAAAGCATTGTGAAAGTAGGGGTGTGGGGAGGAGGCCTGGAAAAAAAGTTAAACAAAGTATTTGACTTTGGATCAGTTCCTTAACCTTTTTGTAGTTTATTTAACTATAAAATTAGGAGGTTGGATGACGTCCCTCCAGATGTTCACAATAAAGAGTTCTGTGGCTGGGTAATTTTGGAATGTGACCCCTTCATCCCATGCTTGCCCCCTCCCCCATTTAAGGCAGCAGCTTGATTTTGTTTTACCTGGCATATTACAAACTTATCCGCCTACAAATCCTCCCCATTTTTTCCCCCCAAATAGTAGCATATTTTGGAAAAGACGGATGAGCTGATCTGCGGTTTCTCATTCTATAATATGCTGCTCTGAGTTTTACTACTTCACATAAATGTTTGGTTAAGGAAAGAAGGGTAAACGTGACGTGTACAGCAGCATATAACTTTTAGAGTGGGAGAAAAATCTATCGCCATTCCAGTGAAACCAGATATTTCTAAGTATAGTTTAACATTTCATCTATGTGGTACCGTCAATGTCTTGAGCAGCTGATCACCAAAGCATCCACTGAACTGCTGCCAATGAAGACAGACATATTACTGGGACACATCTGGCAATGCTGGCAATCAGTGAATGAAATGAATCAACCATGTAGTGAGCGGACTGGCTGCTTGGTGATCAACGTGACTGGAATGGAAAATAACTGTGGGATAAATTAATCCTTAGACTGCAGGACTGAACCGTGATAACCAGAATAAAACTCAAATGTGTGTTCACGATGAATACACTTTCATGCTACAATTACAAATCCACCAGTTAAATTATTTCTAATAGCACAATATGTTCACTTTTTCTATCAATCTACCAACGTTTACTTTTATCTGAAAGGAAAAGACTGTGCAAAGTGTTTGCTGGGAACGAAAGGATATAGTAGGAAAGAGGCCAAAGAACCTACCAGAAAAAGATCTAGGAGCCAGATGCTCTGTCAGTAACTTTCCATGTAGCCTTCAGTAACAGCCTTCTGTTTTCTTACTTTTAAAAATAACTAGCCTCAAGTAGCTTATAATTTAGTTGATTATATTTACAAATTTGGGATTTCCATTTAATGCCTTCTTTTTTTTTTTTAACATCTTTATTGGGGTATAATTGCTTTACAATGGTGTGTTAGTTTCTGCTTTATAACAAAGTGAATCAGTTATACATATACATATGTTCCCATATGTCTTCCCTCTTGCGTCTCCCTCCCTCCCACTCTCCCTATCCCACCCCTCCAGGCTGTCACAAAGCACCGAGCTAATATCCCTGTGCCTTGCGGCTGCTTCCCCCTAGCTATCTACCTTACTACGTTTGTTAGTGTGTATATGTCCATGACTCTCTCTCGCCCTGTCAAAGCTCACCCTTCCCCCTCCCCATATCCTCAAGTCCGTTCTCCAGTAGGTCTGCGTCTTTATTCCTGTCTTACCCCTAGGTTCTTCATGACATTTTTTTTTCTTAAATTCCTTATATATGTGTTAGCATACAGTATTTGTCTTTTTCTTTCTGACTTACTTCACTCTGTATGACAGGCTCTAGGTCCATCCACCTCATTACAAATAGCTCAATTTCGTTTCTTTTTAAGGCTGAGTAATATTCCATTGTATATATGTGCCACATCTTCTTTATCCATTCATCCGATGATGGACACTTAGGTTGTTTTCATGTCCTGGCTATTGTAAATAGAGCTGCAGTGAACATTGTGGTACATGACTCTT